CCACAGCAATCGGAACTACGGAATATGGCCCACCAACTGCTGTCAAAAGAAGCATAGGTTCCATACTGCTCAATTCCTGGGCTGGCTGCAATGTTTCCTGGATTGGATTCCAATGTTTCAGAAAAGGAGGATCCTGTCCATGAAATTCAAGGGCAAAACTGATTGAAAAGTAAATGGATAACTTTTAATTCAGTCACACTTTGAATTAGGATTTCTGACCCTGTGCAGAACTTTTGGAGCGCTGTGTGAAGTGGTCAGGTGAGAGGAATGAAAGTCTTTCCAAAAATAATATATGAGACAGAGAGGCAGTGGTATTTTGCTGAAAAGTACAGTACTGCACTTGTAAAGATATAGCAAGAAATATTCCTTAAGTGCAAAATAACTAAAAATTCATCAGATTTCCAGTTTGGTTTCATATAGTTTCATTAACTATTTCTTAAGTTATCACAAAATTACCCCTACCTTATAGAACATAAGTGGTTAGAAGAAACAAAACTACGTGAATCTTATCAGGGTGATACGAGTTGAGTTCACGCTGAACAATCAAATGAAATATTCGTTTACTATAGCACCTGTTTTCTTAATCTGAAATTTTAATTTAGGCTTTTCTTTGTGTTCTCCCACATAGTAGTTACAATGTGAGATGTACCAACAGCGGGACAAAAGAACAATCATTTCTGCTTTGAATTATTGAATAAGATACCTTCTAAAAAATTAAAACATTATTGCCTGTGGATCGCATTTTGAATCTACCACCACGAACCTCACATTAAAACAGCTGAAGCATTAAATCCTTCAAGCTAGTCTTAATGAAGCATACTAAATCAGTTAGAAAATTCTTTACCAATACAATTCTAGTCTTAAAGTAAGCCTCCTGCCACTGATCTGAATGTAACATTACTTAAGGAGCAGGTACAAGCAAATGTCCAAGGATTAACAATCTAACTTTATTTTTTCTAAAAACATTCATTTTCTGTTTCAAAATACCCATTAGGAATTAACCCTTCTAACTTCCAGCAATTACTGCCTCAATTCCCCTGAAACCCTCATCTATCTATTTTATAGCTCTACACTTGATAATTCCAATGTTTTCTTGACCAGAATTCTGCCTTCTATCCTCCAGGACTTTGAGCTAATCCAACACTCTGTTTCTCATATTCTAAGTTGCAACAAGGCTAATTCATTCATCATCTCTTTTTTGCTGCACAGATTGGTACTGGACTAGGTCCCAGTCCAACAATGCCTTAATTTAAAAATGCATATTTTTGTTTTCAACACCTTCATGATATCACCACTCTGTACTCTGTACTATCCTACAGTCCTCTGGAGGTTCTGCACTCCATTTCGGTTTTTCTTTGCATATCTCCAATTCCCTTTGCCCTACACCGTGGACTGTGCCTTCAGCTATTAGACCCAAAATTCTGGACTAACCCCCCAAAATTTTTCTGTTTCTCGCTCTCTCCTCTGCTTAAGATGGTCCTTAAATCCTTTCTCTTTGACCAAGCCATTGATCATCTGCGTAAATCACCTTATGTCATTTCAAATTTTATTTGGTAACACTTT